GAAGTGTACAGCTGCCGGCGGTCAGTGGCCAGGCCTCAGGAGTCGCCATTAGAGGGAAAGAAAAGCGGGCGCTGGGGCGCGTTCCTACTGACTCCCATCGCTCCCTGAAGCCCTCGGTTCCAGGGCTCAGGTATCTTCAATCCCATCACCGCAAAGGAGGCTCTCGTCCACCAGGTCTGTCTTTGGAGAAATAGCTCCCTCTTTGTCCTGACCTCCAGAGCTGAACAGTAACATAGCCTTGATTTGAGCCCAACTGGCATCCCCAAGGCTGGAGTCCGGGGAAATGAAAGAGTGGGGCTCTGTCAGTCCCAGATTGGGGGGGGGGCAGATCCAAGGGGTCACCGGTGGGTTTAGCAGCCCAAAGCCTGTTCCCACATGAGCACCTTTGTTCTCTGAGCTTCCGGACTGCAGCCTGCTGGCCTTCCTTCTCCTTCAGTCTTGCAGCCACTGCAACCACTGGAACCTGAGGGCAGGAATTTCTTGGCGTTTTGAATTCTTTCTTCAAACCCACCGTGGACTTTGCAAGAAACAGGGATGCAAGACTATGTGTGTAGACTCTCCCAAATCGGCGGTCTGAGTCAAGGTTATGGGTCTCTACTTTGTGCAGTGGGTTGAGGGAGTGTTTGGGGTGTGTGTGTGTGTGTGTGTGTGTGTGAGAGAGAGAGAGAGAGAGAGAGAGAGGGAGAGAGAGAGAGAGCATAATGCCTGCAAGAGAACAAGAGGGTATGATGGGGAAGGTCTGGTCCTGCTGACATTGCCCAAACTTTAAGGGTCTTTGAGGGTCTGTCTCAAGAGCAGAGTGGCCGGGACTCTCTTGCAGGCCCACAGCCTCTGTCAGCCGGTAGCCCCCAAAGCTGGGTTCAAGGTGGGTCTGGGAGAGGGGGAGATTGACTCCAATCTAAGCCTTGTTTTGCCTTAGGTTTGCAACTTCAGATACCAACACTTCTCACACTGGGGCCCCAAAACCTCTCTCCCCACAACCTCCCAAATATCCCGAAATTTCATGCCATGGCATGACCAAAACTTTAAGGTTTTTTTTTTTTTTTAAGGAAGGAGGAATCGTGTAAAACTTTTACGCCAAACGAAGTTATAAAAACTTCCAGGGCGTTGCCTTTTCCAAAGGTTTATATGAATAATAAAGAGTGTAGTCGCGTGCACACGGTTCCGGCGCTCCGAGTAGAGAAGCTTCAGTAAACCGTATTCTCCAGCCCCGGGGCACCAGGAAACCCCTGGGACTGCCCCCTTGAGGGAATATTGGCCCAGAAACGAATTGCCCTGCAGATTCCTGAGAGGGGCGGGGAGAGGGAAGGGGTGGTGCCCTTGACTCCTTGAAGTTCAAAGTTCTTCTTTGCTCCGGTGAGAAAATCCCTCTCTGGCTTCAGCCCACTCGAGAAATGAGCCCCAGGTGGTTTTTCTCCCACTGGTTGAGAACTGGCTGTAGGTAGGCCCATGTCCTTTTCCCTTCCAGACACCTGGTCTGCAACTTTCTCGCTTCCCCAAAGCGAGAACTGCCCGTCCTCTCCATCCGGGACACCTAGAACCTGTGGGCTTTCTCTCAGAGGTGCTTAGTGGGGCTTGAGTGAGCTATCTTCCAAGAGGCCCTTGCATCCCAATTCCTCAGCAACTCAGGGGTCTGAGGGACAAAGAAACCCCAGCGCAAGGCTGACCCCAACCTATTTCTCCTTGCAAATCCCCAAAGTTCCCCCTGCACCCCTAACGCCCAGAGTGAGAGGGGGAGGGGCCCAGAGTGCTCTCTCTCAGCCCACACCACTTAATACCCTTGTAAACTCCCACGTGCGCTATAAACTTGGATTTTTACAACCAACATTCCTCCTTAGCTCTGAGAAACTTTGAACTCGGCCTCGGGTTTATTTACTGGGGGTGGGGGTGCTGGGGAGCTGGGAGCTGAGAAAAGCTGGAAGAGAAGAGGGGGAAAATGCGGGGCAAGAGGGTAATGGCGTGGGGGTCTGGGGTGTGTTGGGGGAGCCAAGACCATCCGCTGTGGGTTTGTTTACTATTTAGAGCGGAAGCATTTTCTAACACAGGCCAGACTGGGTCGTTAAGGGCGAAATGAAACCGGGTTTAGAGGCGCGGGGGGTGGGGGGGTTGCTTTATGGCGGCGTCTAGACGAAGATCTTTTGTTCCCGGGCAGCGCCTCGGCTGGGAGGGGATTACCCGGAGAGGCTGAGCCCAGAGTGCCCCTGACCGGCAAGGGGGGTTGGATGTCCTAGGGGCAAGAAGGTGGGTTTGTTTGGGGGACAGAGACCCCTTTTTTCTCTTTTTAGAGGGTTGCCAAGGACTGGCAGTTTCCTGGGACCGGGTCGCAGAAGCCTTTGTTTTTCTTTCACTATGACCCCCACCCCCACCAAACCACACCCCACCCCACCACACACACACACACACACACACACAGCCTTCTGAAATCCCTTCTGGGGCCAGGGGTCTTTCCTGGGATGCATATTGCAGGGAAAGTGGTAGTTGTAGGTTTTAAATATTTTTCTCCAAAATCACTATCCGTTTGAAGAGTTATCTCCATTTTATTTTGTAGGAAACATGACCAGCAGGCCAACAGTACTCCTTCATACGACTGGGGCATAAACAGCATGGCTAGAGGGGGCTTGTGCATACACATACACACACGCAGAGGACCTCAGTTGCATTCTTGCTGGCACTCATAAACACCGCCAGTGGCCACACACCACAGAGGACACAAGCCCTTAATGTGCCAGTGGTCAGGTTTACTCCATCCTACAGCAGAAAGCATACATACAATTGTCCTTCTCCTGTGCACCCATAGGTACACTGACTTAAAATACTTGTGTGTGGGCACATAAGGGAATTGTGGGGCTGCCTATATACCCTAGCTTTCAAATTCCATCTGAAGACTCACACGTACACACGACAGATTCAGATACTTCAGCTGCATGGTGGTTCCTAGTCATCAAAAACAACGACGGAGCCCGGATGTGATTGTCGGTGATCAAGGTGCTTTTGTCTCTCATTCCACAGAGTTATATTGCCAAAAACATTTTCTTTGACTTCCACAAGAACAGTTCCGAAGAGAGGGAAACGATGAGAGAATGAGCTCGAAATCTTTGCCCCTAAATAATGAATCTGGAACAGAGATTGCCAGAGTACCCTCACTGAAAGCACGTGAAAGGACTGTGGAAAAATAAAAAAAAAAAAAAAAAAAAAAAAAAAAAAAAACAAAAATAGAGGGGTGTGGGGAATGTCCTTCACGTCACCTCCTTACCCAGTGCCCCACATGAAGCAACAGATCTCTGGGGCTTCCTACTCTGGGAGACCCAATGTATCAACATCAGGGTGGCCCCAGTCTAGCATCTTGTTGTGTCTGGAGGAGCCTGGCCATTTGTGCTTGAGAGGAGGGGGGCCCAGCCCTACATTCCCACCCTCGGGGGCCAGTCTTGGCGAAGAAAGGGAGGGGGCTGGTTTCTCCTCCTCTCCCCTCCCTCCTTCAAAACTGTATATAAAAATTCCAATACAGTCTTCTCATGGAGGAAAAAAAAAAAATGAAAGCCCTACCCTCAACCCTGCACATTTAACTGCGACAGACGGAGACATCTGGCGGGAGGGCGGTGGAGCCAAGAAAATTCCTATAAATTTAAATTCGATGATGGTTACAATTAACTCCACAACAAACGTGTACTTAAACGGAAAGCGTTGCTGGGCGTTTGGACGCAGCTCGGGCCACAGGAGAGAAAGGAGAGCTTTAAGAGTAGCAGTGGAATGTCCTCAGCTTGAGAGCAGGAGGAAGCTACGGCCAGGCTCTGCCCCAGCCAGCGGAGAGAGGGTGCAGACCCACCAGCTCCGGCCTGCCTCACCATCGCCGGCCTGTCCTCACCAGCTGGGCTTTCCCCGCCTTCCTCCTCCTCCGCCTTGGGAGCACTGAGGATTTTAAGAGGAGAGGGGCTAATAAAAGGGTCAAATAAAATCATAATATTGAACAGAATGAAATATCTTTATTTGCCACCAAAAAAAAAAAATTCACAGCAATCCCTCTGGGACAGGAGTAGGGTGGGGATTGCACACGTACACGCGCACTCAGCACATGGAGAGAGATGGGTGATTGGAATCTCATTCCAGGCGAGTCCTCCCCCCACCCCATCCCCTCTGGGTAGAAAGCAACTGCTTGTGAAATTTATTTACAAAAATTCAGGCCCCAGCATGGGGGAGGCGCCCAATCCCACCTCCCTACTGCTTCCTCCACCCCAATCTTTTTTTTTTTTCCTTAAAAAAAGCGGGGGGGGGGGAATTAACAACTGCATAGACTATAGCTATAAATCCATGGAGTGGGGCACGCTTGGAAATAGGTTAGGAAACCTCAATGCACCAGTTAAGAAATTTCAAAAAAGGACTCTACACGTTCACGGGGAGAACAACTAGGCTCAGGCGGGGCCTGGGCGCAGACGGAGGTAGGACAAGGGCTTTGCACACCTAACACCAGGTCGAAGGTACAGAAATTTCACAGCAAGGCGGGATCACATTTAGCTGCCCCCTAGCAGTGGGGCGAGGTGGGATAGGAGCGGGGAGCCCGATGTCTCCCCTCGCAGACACGGTGTCTTAGCAGATCTTTTCACTTGGGCAAGGGGAGGCTTTTGGTTCAAGGATTGTTCGCTCAGGCGCCCACGACTCTCGCCCCTCCCCCCCCAATCCGAGCAGCAAGACATTGTCGCGAGGAGGTGTGTTTTCTTTTAAATAAAGAGTCTTGGCCTCGGCGCCAACTATGTCCACTCGCCGTGGGTCGGACACTTCCCTTCACCCTCTTTCCAGGCTCGGTCCCTGTCCCACATCGAGAGTCAGACGGAAGGTGAAGGAGGTTCCAGAAAGAAGCGCGGGCGACGGCAGTGGGGGCCAGCCCTGGCCACAGTCCAGTTTTCCACCCGCGGAAAGAAGGCGAGTCAGAAAATAAAAAATAAAAATAAAATAAAATAATTTCCCCCTTTCCCCCCACCCCACCCCCCAAAGGGCTCGGTCTGCGGTTACAGCAGAGGGTTTCCCGAGAAATACTGCAGCCGGTCTCTGCTTAGTTTTTTTTCTTTCATCCTTCTGTTCTGAAACCAAATTTTCACTTGTCGGTCCGTCAGGTTCAGCATCCGGGACAGCTGCAGCCGCTTCTCTTTGTTGATATACACGTTGAAGAAAAACTCTCGCTCGAGTTCCCGGATCTGGAATTTCGAATAAGGGCAGCGCTTCTTGCGGGTGCGGGGGGCGTCTGGAGGGGAGGGGAGGGGGCAAGTGCGAGGAGAGGGGAGAAAGACACGTGAGACCCGGGCGACCTCAGCCCGCTGAGCGCTCAGCGGCCCTTCTCCCAGCCCCACCGCCGGGCAGCCCTCCCGCCGGGCCAGCCGGCTCTCCTCGCCCGGGGCCGCCCCGGACCCCCGCCAGGTCCGGCTCGGCGGATCTCGGCCTCCGCGGGGTCGGCGCCCCTCCCCTCGGGCGAGCGCCTGGGCTGACGGAGTCTGGGGGAGAAGGAAGCCAGCCCCGGCCAAGTGCGTCCCGGGGCGGGGGGGGGGGCGCCTGCCCAACCGCGGTCCTCTGCCCCTTCCTGCGCTGCCCTCCTAGTGGCTCCGAGAACCCACCACCCCTCCCCCAGAAATCTGGGGGGACCGCGGAGAACAGGCGCGAAGAAGTGAGGTCGGGCGGGAGCAGTCGGGAGGCGGAGGGGAAGCGAGCGAGCAGGCACCAAAGACACCCGAGAGCCGTTTCCGGGGGCCCTGGCGCCCCGGGACGCCCGGCGGGGCCGCGCCTGCCCAGCTACCGGGCTAGGCCGGCGCAGAGGCCGCGGACCGCGGTGAAACACCGAGACCCAGGCCTGGAGCCTAGGGGAGCCCCGAGCCGCCTCTCCCCACCCCCTGCTGCCAGGACCCCTGGCTCGCTGGGGTTCAGCTCAAGGACCCGTGAACACATAGTTTGAACATTTCAAAAATAGTTTTTAAAAGAAGCAGAGCATTCCTGGCCGGCCTCTCCGGTCTCAGGTTCTGCTCCATTGCCTCTCCCCCACCACTCCCCCTCTCTGAGTTTCTCCCGGTCTTTCCCTCGCCCTCCCCTTTCTCCCCCTCCACCCCTCCCCTCTGTCCCACCCCCCGGCAGCCCGGCTCCCCATCCTTCCTTAAATGCTCTTCTAAGTTCACGATCAAAGTTAATATCGCTCGCGATGGTGGCGCTTTTAAAAATTTCACAGACCGAGGGAGATAACGGGGAGGGGGGTTCACCCGGCTTTTCCAAAGAGCCCCTTTCCCTCCCTCCCCACCCCTTCTCCATCGTAAAAAGTCGAGTCGTTGGGAGAGAGGGCTTTGTAGGTTATAATAAAATCCTTTGAATGCTTATAAAACTCCACATAAAATCGGACTGACCCAAAACACGAGGCCGTCCCCGCTCCCCTCGCCTCCCCCCTGCTCTCGCCCTCCCTCTCCCGCTCCCTCCCTCGCTGCCCGCCTGTATCCCGGCCGCTGCTACCTACTGGGGGCGGCTCCCTTGGCCGGCTCCTTGGCCGCCGCCGAGTGGGCTGAACCGGACGAGCTGGGATTCGTGTTTTCCTCCTCGGCCTCGGCCTCGGCCCCCGCCTCAGCCCGGGACGCCAGTCCCGAGGCCGGGGGCGCCTCAGGCTCCCCCTTGGCCTCGCCCTTGCCTGGGCAGGGGGGCTCGGCAGGCGCGTCGCCGCCACCGCAGTAGGCGTTGTCGAAGAAACGGTCGAAAGCTTGAGGCAGGACGCTGTTCTTGTTGACTGAGGAGTAGAAGCCGGCGGGGGCTGCGTGCGGGGCGCTGGGGTGGTGGTGGCCGCCGTAGGAGCCTTCGTTTTTCATGAGGATCTCGGTGACCGTGGAAGGAGGCAGGCACTCCCGGTGCATGAGCTCGTCGGCCGCCGCATAGCAGGAGGAGTAGCTGTTCCGGTGGTGCCACTTGCCGGATGGCTCCAGGCCGTAGGAGACCTCCCGGACCGGGGGCACTTGGGCTGAGTAGGGATAGGAGATCTGACGAGAGGGGGCCTGGGGCAGGAAGGAGGAGACCGTGGAGAACTCGGGCACGTAGTAAGTGCAACTGGGCAGATAGAGGTTGGAGGCGCAGCTCCCTCGCTCGCCGAAATCAGCGCCCCTCTCCTTGCGCGACGGCGAGCAGAAGTTGCCCAGGTTGACCGAGTTAAACATCGTTCTCTTCTCCTGCCGGCTCCAGATGGAGGTTTTGGACCCGATCTAGCGAGGGGGGAAAATTTGGGAAGGCGAGATGACGCGTTATCCGTCTTAGTCTCTCTCCCCGAGCACGTGATCCAAAGTAGATATTGTCATATATCAGTTCGGAGCACTTCGCAGACGTAGGAGGGGTTCTCTCTTAGGTAAGATGGGGACGTTCAGGCGATTGGTTTGCAAACACCGCAGAAACATTATGAAAATCAATTGCAGATTTGTATTCGTTTTTCTCCCGTCACTCCCCTCCTCTCCATTCCACAGAGCGAGCAAAGGAGGAGAGAGAGGGTTGGGGTGGGGTGGGCGGTGGGATGGGCTGGGGTGGTGGCTGGGAGGGGGTAATTGTAATTTTTTTTTCTAGTCGCTGCTCTTCCCCCCCCCCCAGGATTGGGGGAAGGAGGAGGGCTCCCACGTGTGAGGGGGGGGTCCTTGCCTCCTCCCGGTGATGAGTCCAAGATTGAGGTGGGGATGAAGACCTCTTGCCCCACTGTCTGGTCCCACACAAGGGATGTGAATCCTTCCCCCCAACTCTCGGGGACTCTTACCCCGCCAACCCGCAGAGGGTCAGTGCCTGTTTACAAGAGTTTGAAGAAGTCCATTCTTTTCTTGGCCAGGGCTGTATGTCAAGACTACTTTTCCCCTTTGGAGAGACTCCCCAGAAGAGTATGTGAAGTTTTCCAAAGGTGAGGCAGCCCAGCAGCAAGCCAGTGTCCCAACTTTGTCTGGCTCACTGTGCTGCCGGCGGCTAGGGACTCAGATTAGTCATAAATGAGTGGTAAGCAGTGCGCCAGCCGCCCAGCCGGTGCCTGGCGAAGTCTGGGAAAAACCTTCTCTAATGTTGTGTTAAATATTTAGTATGAGAGAGTGGCCCTGGGTGAATATTTCATGCCTGCCTTTATTGTCAATCAATGTGCAGAAAGCTACATCCACTGTGGATCTTTTTTTTTTTTTTTTTAATCTCAAACCCCAAAGATAAAGATTGAAATGAGATCTATGTATTTTCTCTGTCCCAGGTCCTTTGGGTCTGGGGCTCAGCCTCAGCTTGGGGGCTGAAAAGAAGCCCGGAGTCAGGATCAGGAAGGACAGGATGGGGAACTGGGCTTGCGGCTCCTATCCTTGAGTGACTTGGGGGCTGGGAGGTGGCCACTGGGGCCAGATGTGGGTCTACTGGACAGACCAGCAGGGCAGTGGAAAGGAGCTGAGGAACCTGGGTGGGCAGGGCAGGGCTGGGGGCCTCTCCCTAGTAGAGGCCCCCAGCCCTGCTCCCAGGGGGGCTGTAGGCAGGCCTTAGTGCTTCTTTCCCATTTCTCAGCCCTTCCCTGTCCTCATCCACATTTGCCAGCCTCCTAGATAGCTGTGGCCCCAAGAGGTAGGCTCAATGGTTCTTTCTCCCTTTGCCTGTCATCCCTCTGGGCACCATGGGACAGTTAGGCAGCTGTGAATCACTTTATTGAAAGGTTCTGGACTGGATCCAGGGGGGCCAGAGCAATCGCCACAAGCAGAAAGCACCCTTGGATCCAAGGAAGGACTGCCAGGGCATGATTTGTTCAGGTAAGAGGGGAGGATCAAAGTCCCCAAGGACTCAGGGAAAGCCAGAAATGGCCCAAGCCCTCTTTCTTCTCCTTCTCCTCCTCCTCCTCCTCCTCCTCCTCCTCCTCCTCCTCCTTCTTCTTCTTCTTCTTCTTCTTTTTACCCCTGACTCTTGGTTAAAATTGATTTCTATTTTAAAAATATTATTTGGATTTTATTTTCCTTGCTGATCTTGGTGAGGTACTGTGACCCCAAAACCAGATGGAGAAGACACAAAAAATTGCATCCTGTCCCCAAATATAATCCCCCAAATCCATTCCTTCTCAACTCTCTCGCCTCCCCAGATTTGCTCAGCCTTTAGAACATCACCTAGGGTGGAGTTACCTTGACCACGGGTCCCATTGTTGGGGTAGCTCTGGAACACCCAAGGATAGACCCCCAGCACCCCTCTACCCATTAATTGCTGGCCCATTCTTCCGGAGCTCTTCTTTAGTCCCAGCCAGATCTTAAATGAGGGTAAAGAGGAACTAGATTGGGGTTTTGCTAAAGTGGAGGACTTCTCCGGTCAGTGAGGGACTGCAAGAAGAAAATTCGGTTGCTTTTCCTCCTTCCTCTACCCCTTTTTATAGGGTGACCTGGGGCTAGCATTTTTAATTATAATGATGGGGAACTATGGACTATGGCTTTTATGGGGTTCGTGCTGACCTCATTAAACTCAAGTTTACTGGAGGCAAAATGTTCCCCAAACAGTGATAGGAACCAGCAAGAGGGAAGTGAGAGGTACCCCTATCCTTTGCAGAGGCATGGATAAGGGATCCGAGTCTCAGCTTCGGCTTTCCCCAGTTCCCCCAGGGCCATGCTTCCCTCTCCATCCTGGTCTCCAGGGCATTGTGGGGCCTAAGCCCCCAAGGCAAATTCTGTTCTGCTTGGGCCGACTGTAGGGAGGGGGTACGCCTCCTGCGAGGAGCCAGCTGTGGGCCTGAGCACTTGAATTTGACCACCAAAGTTTATTCCAGGGCCACCATAAAAGTGAGCAAGGCGGCTGCAAAGAGCCACAGGCAGCTTTATTTCCTTGAAACAAAAAACGAAGGCAAGAAAGAATGTTCAAGAAGTTGATGTCCAGGAAACTCCAGGGTCTCCCAACAGAGGCTTCTGAGAATTATTAATATTCTTCCCCCTAAAAGTAAGGCACGAAGTTCCATTTTTTTTTTTTCTGGTCTTGGTCTGACTTGTAAGTTTTCAGCAACTTTTTAAAGATCCCAGCAGCTGGAGGTTGCTGCTGGGGTCAAGGAAAGAAGGCTCTAGTTACTGAGGTCAGCAAGGCATTGATTGGCAAGAATGCCCATGGCGTGGGCTGACCCCTTCCTTGCCCAGCCCTAGGTCCAGGCCCACTCCAAAGCGTAGACTGAGTTGCTTGCCCCACGTTGCACCCCAGGGGTGCGTCTCCCAACATGAGACTCAATTGTGGCCTCAAATCACTTCCTAAGAGCCCTGGCAAGCCTCGCTCCCTGGCGCGGAAGTGGCTTCCCCTCCCCCACCTCGTGGGTGCCTGTGGTCCTTCCACAATCCTAGAGTTCCATCTTTCACCCGAAATCCTCCAGGGCAGGACCATTCTGCCTACCTCACCGGTTCTTGGGGGCCTCAGTCAGCACCTCCAGCCTAGCAGGCAGCTTCAGTCTGGGCAGCTGATGCGATACCCCGACCGGGGCCGCGACAGACTCCAGTGATGTTCCAGTCCACGCACGGACACCAGAGGCGCCTTCGGAAGGGGGCAGTATCTCCTGAATTCCCAATTCCCACCTGGGACACCCCGCAGACAGTGTTGGCTGGCCTTCGGCTTGCCCACCTCCCGGTGAGCTTTGACCTGACTTCAGTCCCATGTGGAGTCAGTAAAAGATAAGCAATGGGCGCGTGAACAACCTCAGTGGTTGGAGGCTTGGCCGGCCAGGATGAGGCAGCCTCCATTAGAAATCGGCTTGGACCTTCTGTGTGAATTTTTCTCCCTTAGAGCAATACTGAGGCGTTTAATAATCCCTTTAGTGTGCTCGCAGATTTTCAGGCGAGCAGTTTACCTTGCACCCGGGACACCTCCCACCCCCAGCCAGAGAATTAGAAAGCGGTGGGACTGCCGGTTCTAGGCGCCCACCTCTTCTCAACCTTGGCCATCGCCCCAAGGCCAGGGGCCCGAGTCAGGTCACCCGAGCCGGCGGACGCTGCTCCGAGGTTCTTCGGGCTCCCGGAAAGGATAGAGGAAGGGAGAAGGGCAGCTCCTCCGCCCCTGCAGCCCCACCCACCTTCCTCCACTGAGGGATTGTCCCAGGAGGCTAGCAACGCGACCCCATTTCTCCCCATAAAAGTCCCATTTTATGAGCCAGTTTCACTGGGCCCCTCACCAAATGCTCTAAAATGAGCGAAATCTCTTAAAAGCCGTCTGAAATGGAGCCACCACCGTTGGACCTTGGTATCCAAACCCAGTCGCAGCAGCACAGAAATGCCTTTTCTGGGTGGGAGTGCCCCGTTGGGCGACCCGGCTCCTTGGCCGGGCCGCCCCTGAGCGGAGGCTGGCTTGGCCAGAGCCGCCATTCCCTGGCTTTAGCGCCTACTTAGGCTCCGACCCAGTCCGCGCAGATCAAAGTGAGCTCGCGGCATTTTTATGAGATGAACTTCAGCGGCTCTTTACTTGTAATCAGACGCCTGGGTCGAAAATGCAAAAGGGAACAGCCCATCAATCCAAAAAGGAAAAAGGAGAGAGAGAGGGAAGAAAGAGAGAGAGAGAGAGGAGAGAGAGGGAGAAATAGGGAGAAGAGGGGAGTGAGGGGAAAATTCAGGTGATTCTGGTCACCAACAAAAAAAAGACCCTTTGCCCGCAGCAGGAGTGGTGTGTGGGTCTGTCCCAGCCTCCAGGCCCCGCCATCTGCCTGCACACTTCGCTCCGATATCCGGGGGGCCAGGAAACCTGACTCGCCTGTGATCTGAAGCTTGATCCGAAAGCTTCCACAGTGTGGACGCACCATGTGGGGCGAGTGTGGCCGCCTGCACTCTCCTGCCCCAACGGGGAAGTCGCCTTCGGCTCACGCTTTAAAAGTCTCTCCCATTTTGCTGCTTTTCTCTCTGCGGTCTTCGTGGTTCTTCGTGGTCACTGCAGCTAGAAGTTGAGTTACAGGAAGATTCACCAGAGATTTATCGCCTGGCTCCAAACTTGGAGAGCCCCGTTGTCATAAACAGCCATCTATTGTCTAGACTTTTATCTCCGGGTATGGATCGTGCATTATTGAGGCTCAGGAGACATGGCTCTGGCTCTGTGTGGGGTGTGTGTGTGTGTGTGTGTGTGTGTGTGTGTGTGTGGCTGAGTGCTTGCCCCTTGCCCCGGAGGGTTTTGGGGAGGTAGGTTTTAGAAAGTGCACAAATTTGTGTGTGCTCCTGGGGCTGGGCAG